ATATACGTTTTATTTTATTTTAATTTGTTAAAAATTAATTAATATTAAAAACCGTATGTATCAAATACGTTTTCTAAAACGAAAATTGATTTTTTTATAAAACAAAAATTGATTTATTTAGGTTTTAGGGTTTCCAATTTAATTTTGGGGTTTTCTGTAAAACGTATTTTGTAAATACGTTTTATAATTAAATTGTTTATACATTTTTTCGGCAATATGTTTTTTAAAAAAGTAAACAAATTTATTTTGAAGACGTATTTACTAAATACGTTTTTTGTTAAAAAAAAAAATTAGAAAAACGTATTTGTTAAATACGGGCTTTCTATTTCAGTCCACCCACATTTTTTTTTTTTTTGTCCACTTATTTTTCAATTTTTTTTTTTAAATAAATCACCCCCCTGGGCCGGCTCTGAGTTATTTTTTAAGACTCATCGTGTATTTAATTTAAGTTTTTTTAAGACTTTAAAAAGTATTGAACTATTATTTTGATTGTGTATTTAAAACTTTTTAAAAGTATGAAAAAAGGAAATGGGGGAAATTGTGGTTCATGGCAGGCGATTGGAACAACCTTTGTAAACCAGAAGATAAAAAGAGAGGCAAAACAAGATCAAAATTCAGCTGCTGGGGTTTCAACAATTTTTTGGCAAACATGGGGTACATAAAATCACTCATAGAGGCCTACAGTTCACTTGGGCTAATAACCGAGCAGGAGAAGGCTTTGTAGAAGAGATCCTAGATAGAATGTTTGCCCCACTTGAATGGCTTCATCACTTCCCCTCCACTTAGGTGACCAACTGGTTCAGAAGTGCATCAGATCATGGCATGCTCATCATTCAAACCAAAGAAGCTATGAACAAACACAAAAAACGATTCCAATTTGACAAACGATGGCTTCAAAAAGAAGGGATAAGGGAGCAAGTCACATCTGCCTGGAGAGAAGAACAATCAGGCACACCAATGTACATTATTAAGGAGAAAATCAAAAGAACCAGACAATCACTACTCAATTGGAGCAGATACTTCCATTCTGACCATACAATCAAAGTCAACAGACTTACCTTGCAATTGGAAGAATTAAGGACAGCTGGGGGAGATAGGGATTGGGAAACCTGGGACAGAATTCAAAAGGAGATAGATGAACCAACCTCTCTGAAGAAATTTACTGGCAACAGAAAGCTAGGACACTTTGGTTCAAAGAAGGAGACAAAAACTCCAAATTTCTTCATGCCTATGCTGCTCAAAGGAGAAAAATGAATACCATTGCAAGGTTGCTAACTGAAGAAAATACCATTGAGGAGGACCCTGTGAAGATAGAGCAATTAGTGGCAGAATATTATAAAAAGTTGTTTGCATCAACTGGTTCTAGCAGAGGTCATGAACTACTACCCCTGATCCAAAAAACAGTTTCAGATGACATGAATATGGCATTTACAGCTTCAGTGGAGGATGAGAACATAAAAAATGCAGTGTTTTCAATTCATCCTGACAAAGCTCCTGGAGAAGATGGAATGACAAGGCTTTTTTTCCAGCACTTCTGGCCTATAATTGGGGAGGACATTTGCTATACAGTTAAGAGTTTTTTCTCTTATGGCCAGCTTCTCAGGTATTGGAAGCACACTCTCATCACATTAATTCCTAAATGTAACAATCCTACATCTATTAAGCACTATAGGCCTATCAGTTTATGTGCAGTTTTTTATAAAATTATCTCCAAAATATTGGCACTAAGACTCAGGCATTGTTTGAATGACTGTATTTCCGAAAATCAAGCAGCATTTTTACCTGGCAAACAGCTGCTTGATAATGTAGTATTGGGGCATGAAATTTTTCACTTTTTGAACAAACATAGATCAGGGAAAAATTGTTTCATGGCTTTAAAATTAGACATGGCAAAAGCTTTTGACAGTGTAGAATGGAAATCTATTCAGTTAACTATGATCAGGATGGGGTTCTCTCCTTTGTTTGTTAAATGGATAATGGTTTGCATTCAATTTCCCACATTCTCTTTCAATCTTAATGGCAAAGTTAGTGTTTTGTTACTGCATCAAGGGGAATCAGACAGGGGGATCCCTTATCCCCCTATCTATTCATCATTATATCTGAACTTTTATCAGCAAAAATTAATAATGAATCTGAAAAAGGGAATTACAAGGGCATCAGAATTTCAAGAGGGGGCCCCTTGCTCACTCATTTATTATTTGCGGATGATACTCTCCTATTCTGCAAAGCTGATGAATTTCAGGCTAATAAAATTCTCTCTATTCTACAAGCTTATAATTGCTTCACAGGACAACATGTCAACTGGGCTAAATCCTCTATATTTTTCAGCAAAAACACTCCCAGAGACCTACAAGACAAATGCTGCCAAATACTAGCTGGAATTCAAATACACCCATCAACCAGATATCTTGGTCTTCCACTAGGTATTGGTAAATCAAAAACGGAGTCTTTTGAATACATCCTTACAGTGGTCAAAAAAAGAATATTGAGCTAGAAAAATAAATGGTTGTCCACAGCAGGTAAAGAAATTCTTATAAAAGTTGTGTTAAATGCCCTCCCCGTTTTTGCCATGTCATGTTTTGTATTGCCAATGGGATTATGCAAGGAAATAGCAAGCACTTGCAGTCAATTCTGGTGGAGCAAAAATACAGTCTTGCACAGAGGAATCCACTGGATCTCTTGGGACAAACTAACTCTGAGCAAAAGGCATGGAGGCTTAGGCTTTCAAGATATTCAATTATTCAACACCGCCTTTATATCAAAGCATATTTGGAAACTGGTGACTCAGCCCAATACACTGGTATGTAGAGTACTAAAAGCAAAATATTTTCTAAACTCATCCATTTTTTATGCCCACAGACAGCAAAATGCATCTTGGCTATGGAGCAGCTGGCTAACAGTTTTGCAGAAATGTGAGAAGTGGATGCAAGTGGAAATCAGAAGTGGCCACAATACAAGGATATGGGATCAACACTGGATACCCAATCACATTGACAAACCTGTCCCACTTCTGGAGGGCATTGACAGAAGACTAAACTGGGTTAAAGACCTAATGACCTCTGATGGCTGCCACTGGAATGAACAAAAAGTCAGGAACACATTTTCACCAAGTACCTGTGAAGCAATCCTTAGCATTAATACTCTTAACCCCAACCAACCTGACAGATGGACATGGAACCTAAACCAAAAAGGCATTTTTTCAGTTAAGTCCACCTATGCTCACCTGATCACAGAGAAAATTCTTCAAATAAACCTGCCACAAGGAAGTAACTCAGGAAGCTGTGAGCTAAAAGCTAGAACTAGAACATGGAAGCTTAAAGTCCTGGGTAAAGTAAGACACTTCATATGGAAATGTTACTCTGGTCCTTTACTTGTCCACCTCAATTTAAGAAACAGAGGGGTAGAGATAGTTGTGATCTGTGCAGTCTGTGGAGAAGCTGAGGAATCAATTGAGCATACACTATTCCAATGCCACCAAGAAAAACAGGTGTGGAAGCTAGCACCAGTCAGCTGGGAGGGGCCAAAGCAGAATGAATCTTTCAAGTCCTGGTGGTGGCAAGTATGTCAGCTGGATAAAAGTGACACATCAGAGGCAAGACTACAATTATCCACTTACATACTCTGGTGGTTATGGAAGTATAGAAACTTATGGGTGTTTGAAAAAATTAGAAGACCTGCACCTTCCATTGTTTATGCAGTTGTTAAAGATTGGAAATCTTATAACAAGGCAAATGGGATCAGGCCTCAGGAGCTTTAGTTTGAGTTTTGTATTTTATCCTTTACTGCTTTGCTACTATGTATCTTTTAGTATGAAGGGGTAAGGGCCTCGGTTGCATATAACTGCCTTACCCCTGTTTTTTTATGGAGATGATCCATTCTCTAGGCCACTCTCATGTGTGATTCTCCCAATGATCGGCTTTGTTGTGATATTGTTATTGTAAGGACAATTGTGTATCTGTTTGTTGTGTTATGAATG